CTATATATATATATATATATATATATATATATATATATATTAGGATTTGTTTACTCTAGAGAGAGACTGCATGAGCGGGACGGGGAGAGGGAGGAGAGAGAACCTCAAGCAGACTCTGCACTGACTGCAGAGCCCGACGCAGGGCTCAATCCCAGGACCCTGAGATTATAACCTCAGCCAAAACCAAGAGTGGGACACCCAACCAACTGTCACCCAGGTACCCCTGTTGTTGTTTTAAATCATGTTTCTTCATTGTATGCCTGGCAAATCATGTTTGAGTTAACATGAATCTTTAATCCCTATTCTGCCTGAAGACCCATTCTTATACTTGAGATAAAGTGTGGGTGGGAGTGAATAATATGGTTTCTTCAATCTAGTTATGTATATGTGCTATAAGAATAGTATCAAATCTGCAAACTCTTCATCCACTGATATGTGATACAGCACAGCATATCAGAGATTCTGTCTTGGTAAAGGGAAAAGGCTAGGTGATTCTGATGATCACCCTGGATAAGGAGTTGACAAACATTTCTGTAAAGGGCCGGAGAGTAAAAATTTGAGGCTTCGTGCAGGAGGGCATACAGTCTCTGTTGCTCATACTCAGCTCCAGCCTTGCAGCATGAAATAGACAATACATAGTGAATGAGCATAGCTATGCCTCAGAAAAACTTAAAAAACAAACAAATAAGTAGCAGGCTGCTTTTGAACAGCAGGCAACATTTGACTATCCCTGTCCTGGATTGAGAACCACAAAAAACAGGTTTGCTAAAAAATAATCAACACATAATGTATAACATGATGACTATAGTTAATAATGCTGAATGGTATATTTGAAAGTTGTTAAAAGAGTAGATCCTAAGAGTTCTCATCACAAGGAAAAATACATTGTTTTTCCTTTTTTTATATACCTATATATGAGATGATGGATGTTAACTAAACTTCTTGTGGTAATCATTTCGCAATATATGTGAAAGTTGAATCATTATGCTTAAACACCTTAAACTTACACAGTGCTGTATGTCAATTACATCTCAATTAAACTGGAAAGAAATCATCATGTGAAACTATTTTTAGGATTACTCTCCCTGAAGAATACTTTTTCATATGCTGAAGTAATACAAAAAAGCACAATATTATAAAAAGTTAAATATCTACCTCAGGGAAGCCTGTGTGTGAGTGTGGTGCAACATAGTTATGTCAAGTCTCTACAGCTATTTCTTTATGTGGGGATTCTCATCTAAGGAGGAGATCAGTGTGAAGGGGAGGAGCCAGGAAATATTCACCAAACTCATCCATTTCTTACAAAATTAATTTCCAAATGCACAAACATTTTGAGCAGATCTTTTTCAAGGAACGCAAACAAAACAAAAACAGAATACTAAATTCTTTGGTGCCACAGCAGTAAGTCAGATTCTAGTGAGGTCTCCCAGGGCTATGACATTTAGAACTGCTTCCAAGTAACTTTTCAAAAGGTGGGAATTCTTTACCTTTGAAACCACCACAGTTGGGAAAATCACCACCATTCTAATATTCAACTCCTAAAGAAGCACTATACTAGGCTACATAAGGTAAGATCAAAACACGTCAACATTATCGGAAAACATCATATGCATACCAAATATAGAATCCAGTAAGATATTAATAAATAAATGCTTAACAAAATAGAATGATACAGACCTGGGCCTTTTCTTGAAACATATCAACCATTCCAAAAGAAAGAGATTTTTATTGAAAATTATTTTTATTTTTTTGTAGAGAGATTTTTATTGAAAATTATTGAAAGTAAAAATTCAAATTAAGAGAGTGCATTTTCGGGGCACCTGGGTGGCTCAGTGGGTTAAAGCTTCTGCCTTTGACTCAGGTCATGATCTCAGGGTTCTGGTATCGAGCCCCGCATCAGGCTCTCTGCTAGGCAGGGAGCTTGCTTCTCCCCTTCTCTCTCTGCCTGCCTTTCTGCCTACTTTGATCTCTATCAAATAAATAAATAAAATCTTAAAAAATATATTAAAAAAAAAGAGAGAGTGTATTTTCACTTGAGGTATTAATAATATGCAGTGCTAACAGCATCTTTCCCTCAAGTCCCATGTCATGATAACAACTGTAGGAGTCTTCTCTCCTGTCACTTTGGAGGAAAAGATACTGTTTCTTCATTATGACAAAACTATGTGCTTTTGATTTGCTGTTCTTTTTTTTTTTTTTTTTTTTAAAGATTTTATTTATTTCTTTGACAGAGAGAGATCACAAGCAGGCAGAGAGGCAGGCAGAGAGAGAGGAGGAAGCAGGCTCCCTGCTGAGCAGAGAGCCCGATGCGGGGCTCGATCCCAGGACCCTGAGATCATGACCTGAGCCGAAGGCAGCGGCTTAACCCACTGAGCCACCCAGGCGCCCCTGATTTGCTGTTCTTATCTGAAATGTATGAAATAATTTTTGTCAATGGGTTCAAAATTTCTGAGGCTAATTTTTCATGTATAAAGGGGGCAGAAACTTCAAGTTAAAAGTAAAAAACAAGGATATTTTCCTATTTAAAATAAGTCAGAGAAACAGAAATACCATATGATGTCCTTATATGTGTAATCTTTTAAAAAAACAATTGAAAACAATAGAAAGTAAAAAATATATGCATGACGTAGATCATAAATAATTGTCAAATAGAGGTATAAGCAATACAATCTACAACTACAACTACATAGAAAAAATTGGTGATTGCCAGGGGTGGATGTGGGAGGTAGATGAAACAGGTAAAGAGGGTCAAAAGGTACAAATTTCCAGCTATAAAATAAATAAGTCGTGGGGATATAAAGTATAACATAGTAACTATAGTTAATAATACTGTGTTGCATATGTGAAAACTGTTGAGAGTAAGTCTTAAAACTTCTCATTACACACAAAAAAATTGTAACTATGTATGGTGACAGATGTTAAACTTACTGCGGTAATCATCTTACAATATATACAAATATCAAATCATTATGTCATACACCTGAAACTAATATAATGTTATATGCCAATTATAACTCAATAAAAAATAAACAGAGATGGCTAAAATTTGTATAAACTATGAAAAGCCAAATATCTACCAAAGAAGTGCCACTTTGTTCTAACTATATCTCACTCTTTTTAAATGTAAGAAAACACCCATAAATATTCATTTTACACATCAAAATCTAAAGCTAAATAGGAAGGTTTAATTTATCATTTTTGTCAGGCCTTGTTGTTAATATTTTAAAAATAGTAATAAATATTAGGTATCAGAGCTCAGTTTGAAGTTGCTCTCATTCAGTATTAATGGTAACCAGAGTAGAACCATCAAGAGATGAGTGCAGGACAATGGCAGAAATGGAGAAAACAAGAAACATAATGGTTCTGTCAAAGAAAACTAAATAAGAAGTACTCCCAAAAAATGGCCTGTTTAGAGAAACACGATTAAAAAGGAATATATTCACCTCAAACTATCTGTTTAGGAATTAAGAAAAAAGTCCACCAAAGTATACCTGAAGCCACAGGTTTCAATGAAATGATTTCTAATGATCATTAACTTTCAGACTATGTGTATTTTACATAAAACTTCTAATGCTAAGGTAGCGGGCATTATACTTTCTCTGAAGTCCTAAAGGGTCATGTTTTAGTAATATGTAGTTCTATATAATATATACAGCCCATTGTGACTGTAAGAGAAAGTGCTCTTTATTGAGGAGTTCTTCAAACATTTGCTGGCTCAGAAAGCTCAACTATGGACATTCTAGAGAGGACAACAGGCTCAAGATCTCCTGCTGGAGAAGAGCAATGATCTCTTTTTGTGTGTGTCAGTAACAGTACATGGCTTTTCCTTCTTTCTTTTTTAACTTCCTCCCAAATATTTTATTTATTTTTTTTTAAGATTTTATTTATTTATTTGTCAGAGAGAGAGAGGGAGAGAGAGCGAGCACAGGCAGACAGAATGGCAGGCAGAGGCAGAGGGAGAAGCAGGTTCCCTGACGAGCAAGGAGCCCTAAGTGGGACTCGATCCCAGGACGCTGGGATCATGACCTGAGCCGAAGGCAGCTGCTCAACCAACTGAGCCACCCAGGCGTCCCCCTCCCAAATATTTTAAAGCATATTTATAAAAATCATAAAGACTGATTATGTACAAATTTTAACATGACAATAAGATAAAATAAGATCTATTTTATAGGAGAACATAACTCAAACTCTAGAGCTCAATTATTAATATATTTTTTAAAAGGT